CCCTCATCAGATACAAATTTTGTATTTGAATCCATAGGAGTTTCAACCGGACGACCACCCAACATACCTGTTTCTTCTAATAAATCCAACACATATTTGCGTTGGGATAAACTTATACCCTTCTTGGATCTAGCAACTTCAATGCCCAAGAAATACCTAAGTTTACCCAAGTCTTTAGTGTGGAATTGATATTGCAGAAACAACTTCAACTTAGCAATGCCTTCAGAATCATCACCAGTGATCACAATATCATCTACATACACCACAAGAAATATAAAGCCAGCTTTAGTGCGCTGGTGAAACACTGAATGGTCGGTCTGACATTTCTTAAGACCAAATTTTAACGCCACCTCAGAGAATTTTCCAATCCAAGCCCGTGGAGATTGTTTCAATCCATACAGAGCCTTTTTAAGGCGACAAACAGTGTGAAGATACTCCCCCTGAGCAACAAACCCAGGTGGTTGCTCCATATAAACCTCTTCTGAAGTCACCATGCAAAAAGGCATTTTTAACGTCTAACTGAAACAGAGGCCAATGTCTATTAGCAGCAAGAGAAATCAAAACACGAATAGAAGAAATCTTAGCAACGGGAGAAAATGTCTCGTCATAGTCAATACCATAAGTTTGGGTATAACCTTTGGCAACAAGACGTGCTTTTAAACGCTCAACAGACCCATCTGGAAGGTACTTTACAGTATATTCCCAGCGACAACCAACAGGTGTGACATCCGGAGGTAATGGAACAAGATCTCACGTGCCATTCTTATGCAAAGCATCCATTTCATCTTGCATTGTGTTCCTCCAGCCCAAATCAGACAACGCATCCTGTACAGTCTTAGGAACGAATATAGTAGACAACTTAGAGGAAAAACAGGAGAATGATGGCGAAAAGGAATTATAAGAGACATAATGAGCAATAGGATGGTTAGTAACACATGAACGAGGAGCTTTACGAAGTGCAATAGGCAAGGAATCAGACACAGTGGAAGGTGCCGGATCCAAAGACTCTGAAGATGATGGAGGAGGCACGACAACGGCTTTGGTCTTCGAGTGTACACCTGTAACGGGGCAGATGAAGGAACAAGAGATCGAGGTTGAAGAGAGAGTGAGGGAAGAGGAACGGTAGAAGGAGGCGACTCAAGAGTGATATCAAGAAGTGAATCAGTATCTGAAAAATATGGGATGGACTCAGAAAATGTTACATCTGCGCTAATAAAGTACAGTTGAGAAACAGGACTATAGCAGCGATAACCTTTATGAGAGCGAGAGTAGCCAAGAAATACACACTTTGTGGCACGTGGGTCTAATTTATCAAAACCAGGACTAAGATTGTGGACATAACATACACATCTAAAAACCCTAGGAGGAAGAGAAAACAAGGGAGAATCAGGAAATAAAATAGAATGTGGAGATTTGCCATCTAATACAGATGACGGCATACGGTTAATAAGATGACAGGCAGTAAGAACAGTATCACCCCAAAACTGTTTAGGCATACGCATATGAAACAAAAGAGCACAAGTTACTTTTAAGAGATGTCGATTCTTACGTTCTGCAACTCCATTTTGTTGTGAAGTATAAACACATGAATTTTGATGAATAATTCCTTTAACACTAAGATATGTATCAAATGGAGTTGAAGAATATTCCTTAGCATTATCAGAACGTAGAATACGAATTGGACATCCAAACTGAGTTTTGATTTCTTTGCGAAATTTTTGAAAAATTAAAAATAACTCAGAACGATCTTTCATTAGAAACAACTAAGTTAGGCGAGAATAATCATCCACAAATGTCACAAAATAATGAAATTTATTGATTGAAGAATGTTTTATTGGACCCCATACATTTGAATGAACCAAATGAAATGGACTAGCGACACGATTATTAACCCTAGACTTGAAAGACACGCGATGGTGCTTACTAAGTTGACAAATTTCACATGACAAGAATTTCAAATGACTAAGACTAGGAACTTGACGCTTCAAAACTTGAAGTGACGGATGACCAAGGCGACAGTGCCACTGGAATGGAGACAGAGAAGACTGAATAGCCACAGGAGAAGGTTCGAAATCAAAATAATATAAGCCACCAGCTTCATGCCTCGTACCAATCGTCTTCTTCGTCTTGAGATCCTGAAACACACAAGAAGTAGGATCAAATGTAACAGAGCACTGGAGAGATTTAGTAAGCTTACTGTTAGACATTAAATTAAAAGGAAACTGCGGAACATGTAAAACAGACGAGAGAGACAATGAATCACTAAGTTGAGTTGTCTCCAAACCTGAAACCTGAGTGGATGAACCATTAGCAAGAGTAACACTTTGAGAAGGATGTACAAAATGAAAATTAGATAGAAGAGAAGAACATCCGGTCATATGATCAGATGCTCCAGTGTCTATGATCCAAGGACTGCGAGTGGAAGACAACAGACATGTGTGTGTAGTACCTGACTGGGCAAAAGTAGCCGTGGAAGATGAATTAGATGCTTGCTTATAAGACAAAAACTGAGTATACTCATCTCGTGGAACAGGAACTGTATCTGATTCAGCTACGTTGTGCGATCCAGAAGCAACATCATTCGGAGAAGAGGAAACTTAATTGGCATAACTAGATGGTTTCCCATGAAGATCCCAACAAAAGTTCACAGTATGATTAGAAAGACCACAATGGGTACACTTTTTATATTCCCTGCCACGGCCATGTCCTCCACGTGAATCACGACCACCACGTGTGGAGCGTCCCCTACGACCTCCACGGTAAGTATTATGTTCACCCTTTGAAACCACTAATGCTGAACGCTCACCACTCTGTCCAGTATTCAAATTTGAGGTATCACTTGCAAGTGTAGTACGCTGAAGTCTAGAAAACACCTCAGCAAGAGATGGAAGTGTTGGATTGCTCATAATCTGTGCACGAAAAGGCTCATATGCTGATGATAAACCAGTAAGAAAACGGACAGCATTAAAGTCCGCACGTTGTTGTTGCATACTGCGAACATCACCTGTAATAGGCTGATACATATTTAGCTCTTCACAGACTCCCATAACTTTGGAATAATACTTTGAGTACCTTGTTCAAGATTGAAGTGCCGCTTACAGAGCTCATAAACACGAGTGATATTACCTGTCCCAGAATACAATTGCAGCAATCTGTCCCATATCTCCTTGACAGTATCCAAATAAAGTAGAGTTGAACTAATTTGGGGTTCAATACCGTTTATCATCATAGAAATGATCTGAGCATCTTCCTTTTCCCATGTATCAAAGGAGACATCAATTGTCTTGGGTTTCTCTTTAGTTAAATGAGAATCAAGACCTCTGCCTTGGAGGAAAATGGCAACAGATTTAGCCCATAATATGTAATTCTTTCCATTGAGTTTAACTGAAGTCATGGGAGAATTAAGACTGTTCGTGGGTGAAAGTAAATCTGAACTAGATGCCATGTTGAATCCAGCAAAACAGAAAAGAAAAACGGCAAAAAAAAAAAGATTCTGTATTCTGGCCGAACCTGGAAAACGACTTGGATCTGGAACCGGGTCGGATCTTGGACCGGGTCAGATCTGGACAACCGGGTCGGGTCTGGTCAACAGACTTGGTCAAACGGGTTGGACTGACATGGGCTATCCAGGTTTAGCAAACCAGGGTTGAAGTAGTTATAACCGTGTAGCCAAACAGAGGTTTTCTTCTTCACACCTTCACAGACGCCGGGGAATAACGCGGCGGCGACGACGGCGACCCAAGCACAAGTAACGGCGAATCAATAAGCAGCGATCGCTGCAACTTCCGGCCAACAGAGATGAACCTCACCTCTGCGAATCAAGATTGCAGAGGTCGGCGAGCTCGCTGGCAACCAAAGAGAAGCTGCCGGCGACGACGAACACGGCAGAGACGACGACGAACACGGCAAAGACAATGACGAATAACTCCCAGATGGGACGACGCTGTAGATCTGACGACGATGAACAAGCCGCTGCTGATGACGACAAACAAGGAACCGACGGTAGAGATCACCAACACCACAACTGCAATTCAAATCTTATACAACAATAACCCAATTACAGATTCTCACACCCATGATCGTACGCTCTGATACCATGTTCAGAGTTATATATATGAGAGAGAGAGAAGTTTCAGACTTGTATATTCATCATCATCTAACCTAATAAAGTGTACAAGGCTTATATAAAGAGTACAAGTCTTACTTAACTACACAAGGACCCCTATCAACTTTCTGTAATTACATAATGGCCCAACACTTATATATATATATATATATATATATATATATATATATATATATAAAACATTCTAACAACATCCATTCACCAGCTTGAGGGGGAGTGTGGGAAAATGAGATTTATTAGTTGTGTACAGGCTGTTAATAGCTAGGGATTTATTGGTTGTGTACAGGCTGCTGTTAATAGCTAGAGATTTATTAGTTATTGCAATCCCTGATTTCTAGGGATCAGTTTTTATTAGCTTCCTAGAATAGCATTATTCTGATGTATATATAAGAGTGTATTCCCAATTCTTTAATCAATTGATTCGATTACCAATTTCAGTAATTTTGTCAGTTTGAGTTATTTGCACTAGTCCGTCATTAGAGTACTGAATTGAAAGGTCCTCAGCCAACAGTTCTCAGCTTTCTCAAAACTATTGCAAAATGGGATCTCTCTTTGTCCAGTAATTTAACATCAGAGAACCTTTCATGGATGGTCAAACTCATCACTTGCCTCTACCTAACAAATACTGGATTGGCCAATTGACTTCTGTTCTGTAACTTTTCTCTATGTATGGTCATATTTGCGCTTGTTTACTCAAGGTAATGAAAAGTGTATCATTCCTGCAAATACAATCATAAGTAAGGCTAACTAGGGAAAAAAAATACATTACTAAGGCTTATAGTCAGCCTTTATTTCTGGGGGAATTTTCATTTTCACTCTGAAATCTTAATATCTGTTTTCTTTTTCAATTCTTACACTTGAATCATTGATTCAGGCAACAGTGAAGTTGCATCTATTGTCATAACCGAAAGTGAGGCAGAAGGAGAGGAAGCACGAAAGTTCTTGGAAGATGTTCGCGTTACATTTCCTCAGGTTTGTGGCCTTAAGAATCCTTGTTGGATATGTTTTGATGAGCTCTGTGCTATATCCTTCTTGAAATCAGTTGCCCAGGCATCATTAAATACATTTTTATATATGGTAACAACTTGGTCTTCCTTGACATATTCTTGCAAAGAACACATTGTGCTGAGTATAGCTTTGGTATATGTTGCTTTTTCAGGTTTTACGTGTTGTGAAGACAAGGCAAGTAACATATTCTGTGCTGAGTCATTTAATTGATTATGTTCAAAATCTTGAAAAGGTTGGGTTGTTGGAAGAGAAAGAGATGATTCATCTGCACAATGTTGTCCAGGTATCATTGGGACATTGTCACGTTTTCCTTTTTTGGTCTTCACTTTATTCATACGTTGTTCATGAGTCATACTTGTATTACTTCTATTTTCATGTAGACTGACTTGAAGAAGCTGCTACGGAATCCTCCGTTAGTGAAGATTCCAAAGATACGTGATTTGGTTAGTGTCCATCCTTTGTTGGGAGCACTTCCTTCCACAGTTCGTGAGCCATTGGTAGATTCTACTAAAGAGATAATGAAACTACGTGGTGTGACTCTTTATAGGGAGGCTTCTAAGCCAAATGGTATTTGGCTCATTTCAAATGGAGTCGTGAAGGTAACTAAACATTTTACTCGGGTTTGTTAGCGTTTGAGAGAAAACTTTGTTTCATTCAAAATATTTCAGTTATGATTCTCTCAACTTGTCACATATTAGTACCTCTGTATGGCAGTGGGCAAGTAAGACTACAAGGAATAAGCTTTTACTGCATCCGACATTTACACATGGCAGTACTTTGGGCCTATATGAGGTGCTGATTGGAAAGCCGCACATCTGTGATATGGTAACAGATTCTGTTGTACTCTGTTTCTTTTTTGGAGCTGAAAAGATACTCGAAGTGGTCAGATCTGATCCTGTGGTAGAAAATTTCTTGTGGCAGGTATAATAATTATCACACTGCAAAACATCCCTGACCCCATTATTTGGTATATAAACTTATAAACATGCAACAAGATAATTTATAGTCTTTATATCTTAAGTTCAGAAAGAATATTAATCTGGTCTAAAATTAAGTATGCATTATTTAAATATGCAACTCTGTTAAAAACATGACAGCTCATCAGGTGATATATTTTCCTTGGTCTTTTTATATCTGTTGATCATGTAAAGGGTGCAATGCTAAAACATTTAGTGGAATATACCATGATAATTGGTTTCCCAAATCCCTTAAACAGTTGTCTTACCAGTTATTTAGTGGATCGTACAATGTATCTTGGTTTTGCAGGAAAGCGTTATTGTTCTTGCTAAAATCTTGCTTCCTCAAATATTTGAGAAAATGGCAATGCAAGACTTGAGATCACTTGTTGCAGATAAGTCAAGAATGACAATATACCTAAGAGGAGAAACTATAGAAATACCCCACCTTTCAATTGGTTTTCTGTTAGAAGGATTCATAAAAAGGCAAGGTATCCAAGAAGAACTGATTACATCTCCAGCAGCATTATTGCCTTCAAATGGCTATCTAAGCTTCCTAGGATCAGAAATATCAGGTAACTAAAATCTATTTCACATCTCTTTCTATTCCTGGGGAACTGTTTTAACTTCTTGTCGGATGTGTATTGTCTGATACTTCCCCTTTCTTGGTTGATTGTCTTTATCAGAATATTCATATCATGCTCTAATATACTAAAACTTCTCTTGCATTTTCACATCTCTTTCTATAGTAGACTTCAATCAATCGAGGGATAGATTGGGGGCTTCTGGAGTATCATCGATCAATTGATGTGAATTTTGATCAATTGAGCTTTTCAGAAAAACAATTTCCAAGTTGGTTTTAAGCGCCACCTACCCTATTCTCTCTATCTTCGATGTTGCTTACATACATATATATATATATATATATATATATATATATATATAATAGTGTTCAATTGCTCCCTGGGAGCAAGAAATTTTATACTCACTTTTAATTGTAACCTTAGGATCTAATCTTACGGCAATTAGTTAATTGACTTTTATTTTCTTTATTTTAAGAAACTTCCATTTTCTTTCCATACCATTAAATATCATTAAAGAAAAATGACAGTATTAGACAATTTATTAAAGGAAACAAGAATTAAATAATTTGGCTATTTTTTGCCAAATTCGCAAGCAGCCACTGAGACGAAGTAAAATTAATCTACAATTAAAAGTCCGTCATTTTTAGTTTTTTTCCACACTTTATCAATTCTGACATGCTTTTACCGATCAACACTTTGAACATTTAATTTACCAAAAAAATAAAAAAAAACACCAAGAACATTTAGATAGATATATAATAATATATTAAGAGTTGTTTTGCAGGATCTTTCTAAAAAAATTTTGAAGCCAATAGTAGTCTCCGAATTCTAAATTAGTTACTAAACAAATTCAAAATATTTTATTAAGCTGAGTATAAAATATGGATCAATCTTGAAATTTGAGTTTTGATTATAATCAATACTTTTCAAGCAATCTTTATTTAATGGCCATTTTATTTATCTCTTTTGATTAATTTTATTTGGTTTTTGTTTATTCAACCGGTAGTGATGGGGAAGTGTTTTTTTACTGGACAGAGAAACCCAGACAAAAAAGTAGCCAAATTATTTTATTTTTGTTTCCTTTAATAAATTGTCTAATTCTGTAATTTTTCTTTAATGGTTTGGAAAGAAAATGTAAGTTTCTTAAAATGAAGAAAATAAAAGTCAATTAACTAATTGCCTTAGGATTAGATCCTAAGGTTACTATTAAAAGTGAGTATAAAATTTCTTACTTCTAGGGAGCAATTGAACACTATTGATACACACACACACACACGTGATACTGTTCAAATATATAGATATTTCTATATATTTCAACTTTCAACAGATACTAGGGCAGAATACAAGATGCAGAGAGTACAAATAGAAAGAACATTATTTGTGACCTTTAGAGTGCTTCTTTATTTTTCTTTCTGACTCATCATTCTAGTATCGGTGAGTGTGAGTTCATATGTTGACAATCTACTGCAATGTACTTAATCCTATAGCTCAATACCACATTCAATCCATACAAAAAGATCGAAACCAGATGACTAGTGGTTGAGACTGAAATCGCTAGAGAAGCAGATTCGTGAGGAGCGGATGTTGTTGATGAGCGAATAGATGGCCTGGAGACTTCTGGGGGAAGGTATGGTGTTTATCAGGAGGTAACTAGGGGATTTTTGGGATAGAGTCTGTGAACCTAGGTTGTACTCTCTTTTCTCACATAGTGGATTTTGGGTTGTCTGGACTAGGTTTTGTGGTTTTTCTCCTTGGTGTTTCCATGCAAAAATCTTTTTGTCCATTACTTTGCTTTTTATCTGCTTATTATTGCTATGGATTGATAGATTTGTATTATCTGCTATGAGTTAATTTGACTTTCTGTTAAGTCAATTTTAAATTTGAAAAGTTGTTAATTTGGATTAGTCATCCTACGAGACCTTTTCACCTTCTTCCCCCTCTCCAAAAAAGAAGTCTTGATCACTTACCTTGCGCAACTCTCCATCAGTCTCAGGTTCCGGTCCTTTAATCAGATTTGATTGTTCTGTCTTTCATCTTGTTCTAAAAATGGTTTTAATATGCCTTTTAGGATACATTAAAATGAGCATATAAAAATCTCACTCACAGAATATAGGTACAATGACAGAGAGCCCTCCCCCAGTCCCCAAGTCTCCCTATCTTCAGTTAGAAATTGTATCCAAAATATATAAAATAAATGAACTGAGAATGAACTAATTGAGGGCCATACTTTTCGGAAAATTTCAGAACCAGGTACTTTTACTAATGCTTCATCTCTGATTTGATAACAGGTACCAAGCCAGGGAGTTTTTCTCATCAAGGATCCTGCTATCAAGTTGAGACGAGGGCGAGAGTTATCATATTTGACATTGCTGCATTTGAAGCCAATAGACCTCTCTCGAGAAGGCCGTCTTCATTAATTTCACATGATCATCCCTCCCGTACCCTAAGTAGGGAACATGGCGGTCTTATGAGTTGGCCTGAACATTTCTACAGGCCAAGGCAAAATCATCAGAGTCCCCAAGAGACTGATCGAAGAACAAACAACTTGTCTACTCGGGCAATGCAGCTAAGCATCTTTGGCAGCATGGTAAGTTCAGTGTATCTTTTCTTTAAGTGGTTGTTTGGAAGTAACTTCATGGTTGATTTACTCAGAATGCACAATTGTTTTGGACTTCTACATGTAGCATATGCATATAATTCTAAATAAAATTATTTCATCCTTTCCTTTTTCTATTTATTAATTTCATATAGTCCGATCTTTAGAAGATATTGAAAGAAAACCAGAGCATCCCCCATCCCAAATTTTTTTTTTTTTTTCTTTAAAAGGAAAAAAGAATGAATAAGAGAATGGAGATGTAAAAATAAATAAATAAATAACCTTTATGTTAAGAATAACAAAATTAAAAAATTGAACATTTATTCAGTTGAAGTTATTGTAGATTCACTTCAATTTTGTTTTTATTGTCCGTCTTTATCTTGGAGGATTTATTTCAAATAGACCAATAATGAATAATGGCCATGTGAATTTATAATTTGTTGAAGTTGTAATTGATTACCATATTTTTTAATTGTGGTTGTTTATTTGGAGTTACATTGTAGATTGTCCGATTTATCAGGTAAATAACACCCGATGGAGTGGCCGAAATTCTCTAAGCAGAAAAGTGAATCCATCTCATAGCTTGTCATATCCAGAAGTTCCATCAAATCATGTGCGACCACTTGTTTCTGTCAGATCAGAAGGGCCTACCATGACAAGAAAGAATCTTGAAGTGAAAGAACTTGCAGGACAAAATTTAATGCACCAAACTCAAAGTTCAAGGACGAAAGAGAGTCATGTAATGGATGACTCAAGTGACGAATCTGGTGTGGAGGATGAACTTGTTGTGAGAATCGATTCACTGAGTAGGCTCTCTTTTCGCCAGGCCTCTTAAGGTTTTACATCTGACTTTATCATGATTATATTTCATCAAAAAAAAAAATTTCTTTTTCTTTTTCTTTCCTCCGAAAGTATTTATGTTGTTTGCATGCGTAAATGCTCTATGCTATGCATAAAAGAGAAATCATGTCTAAATTGTCTATGTATAAAAGAGAAATTTGTATGTCTAAATGCTCTATGTATAAAAGAGAAATCAATAAGAGAATCCCTGAAACCTTCTGCTTGAAGAAACTACTGGTGAACTACATGTATCCGATTCAATTTTCTGTAATATTGTTTCTACTGCCCATACCCATACGATTCCCGAGTGTGTTGAATGTTTGATGCATTGTATATGTTATATGGTTAATTATCACTTCTAGTTTGTATATACATAATTAGGATTTTGTGGAATCGCGTTAAATTATATAGTTTTATATGTGCATTTATTTTTGTTAATTTTTATTGTATGATCTTGGTGTCTACATAACAAATAAGAGGGCTATTTTGAATAGCCAAACTCTGGCAATTGTCTAACGTTCATGATGGGATTAGAGCTTTGGTACTCGACCTTTGTTCACTTTTTCAAATAGCAAGGAGTGAATATTAATGCATCCTCCATAAAATGTAATGGAAAAGTGATTTTGCGAGAGAAGCTGCGTTTATAGTCCATGCATGTAAAAAAAATTTCGCAGTTGAGACTATCTTGTCTCGAATCAAAAGGGTAAAGTTGTGATTCCTCTCCTGCGTTTGGATTAATCTGTTGCATGGGTGTCGCATTTTGCATACCATTAATACGAGACTCGAACTCCCTACCTGCCCTTTAAAGTTGGAGAGATCATACTATTGAATTAACGTCCATTTAAGTGTTACGAAAGTGATACATTTCATAATGTAGCGCGTTACATTACGAAGTAATATGTTGCATTGCTGATTTTACGTATGCATAGGGATGACAATGACACCATATGGGGGACCAGGCAGAGGAGAAGATCAGGTCCGAAGGTAAAAGTGTTGATTCAGTCCATTTTCTCCTTTTTTGCCTATTATAAACTTTAGGCATGTACCATGTCACTAGTGGTCGACCCTACACGGTGGGTGATTCACAGTCTAGCACACGGTTGCGTGCACTTTCCGCTGGTCATTTAGCCTCTATATAAAGCATTCCGTTGGGACACTCTCCCACTTAACTCTCTCTCTCTCTCTCTCTCTCTCTATGGATGCTCCTGGTGAAGCCACCACCGCACCCAGCCCGCCGCCGCCTTTCCAGAGGGGCCTTGCAACTACTACAAGAGGCAGCGCCACCACTGAATTTCGCGACGTTCCAAGTAGAGGCCAAATTCTCAGGAGTATTCTCAAGAGTATTCTTAAAATGCAGTAGCAACTGGTAGAGCCTAGTCTTGGAAGTTCTATTATATCTTGCCAAATAAATGAATGTCATTGACATCTTCTATTTATATTATGAGATTTTATTAGTTCCTTTTAATAAATTGATTGATTATTATGTGGGATGGTGTTGAATTATTATTATTAGCACATCATTGTTCCGAATTAATTAGATTATAAAGCGTTTCACATGATATTGAGAAAGGAATTTGTTAGGTTTGACCCAATTGGACTAACCAAGAGATTTTTAGTTGACCTAGATGTCAAGTGTATGCAATCGGTAGGTTAGTGCTTACTAACACGGGTGAGTTTGAATACTGATCTCCTGACCCTATGACGGCACCAAGCTAATAAAAAAAAAAAATAAAAAAAAAAAAAAAAAACTTTTCTGTGACTTAGTTCATTCAACCCACACTTGCTGCCTAAAACATACAGTAAATAGAATACTCACACGCACAATTATAATTTGCAGTAATGTAATGTAAAGCGCACCCCTGAATTTACAGATGCCCCAAAGCTTCGTAACTTTACTATTTTTTTACAAACAAGTAAAAGGCCTCAAGTCTGCAGAAGTATAGAGTGTCTCTCAGCACTCTTCTGTCTGTCATGTCAGGAAAATTGCCCCCACAAGCTTGCTGAGTTTGATAACCACCTAGTGATGTTGCCCCTGAAATGTGCCACCTGCATGGGTGGTTGCTGGGCACACCCCTACTCCCCCACAATGTCAACACGTGGGAGGTGCTAGCAGCCACCCCCAACCAACTGAGCCCACCAAGCCATGTCTCACAATCCTGAACCATGTCTCACCCCTTTGAGCCACCCTTGCATGTTGAGCCACATCTAAGCCCACTGTCTTGTACTCATGTCCCTAACTTGTCTACGTCACGCCCATGGCTTGTGATCCATGCTATTCACACCATTTGAGCCAACTGTGTGGAGCCTAGCCAAATCCAAGCTCAGATATCTTGTGTGATACCCCTCAATTTCGGAACATAGGTTGATCAAGTCCGTATACAAAACTGAGGGAAATATCAAACAATTAATAATATACAAGCACATAATACAAAAAGACAAATAATAAAGAAATAATATTGCTGAAAGGAAACTAATAAATAAATAAATAAATAAATAAATCTCCTCCAAATAAAATTCATTAATTCTCAAAGATAAATAATAAAATCCCTATAAAATTAATTCTCCAAAAGAATATAACTCAGAATCCTTAAACATGGACCCCTAATAAAATCCCTTAACAGAAAATAAATAACTATCTAAAAACTAAAATAACCGTCTAAAAACTAAAATAACCAATCAAAAGGTAGAACCCTACGTTGATGACACTGGAAGAGTGATGATACCAAGTCTCTGATCGGCACGAACAACTACTAATCCTACTATTGACGAGAACCTGAAAAATATAACAATGGTGGATCAAAACCTACGAACAAGTCGTTTCTATGATAACTAAATCAGAGATCTAAAAAGACTACACATCTATAACTAAGTCATGCCATAACTACGCTTCTATAACTAAAAGCCAATTGCTACATCTTAGGGTTTGCTTGAGATCTTATGAATTAGTTTAGGTCAAATCACACACTCACTCCCATCTAATTTTGTTACTTGTTTTATTTGCCGCTTAACAGTTTACCAAGGCGTGGTCCACTACAATAGGCACTTCCATTAAATGTGATTTGCTGGGATAGAATTCTTACTGCAAGTAATAATAATGTCACGCACCTCGTACAAAACGCCTTAATTGTCCAGAAAAAAAACATACATAAAATCAAATATAACATAATCTAAGAAAATAACTGAAAAATTTATAAGATGAATCCATACCTAAATTTCTCGGAAGAAAGAACACACACACATAAGAATAATTTAGTGATAGCAATATACCCTTTGGTAACACGCACGCACGCACAGAGGGGTGGGCACATGGCCCCCCCGAAGTCCCCCCCCCCCCCCCCCCCCCCGGCGCGCGCCCAATTATTATATACATTTTGTTTTGAAAGTTCAAAAATGCCCCCCCTCAAAAATAATAAAACAAACTAAAAAGAAAAGTTAAAGTGAAAACATGCTACAATTTACAAGGGCTAAATGGGAAGATAATGTTTAGTATTGTGTTTAAGACAATTGTTAGTGGTGTGTTTGAGTGGTAAAGAAAAGAATACTAAAGTATAATTTGAAGTAATTGGCCCTCAAAAATAATAAAACAAACTAAAAAGAAAAGTTAAAGTGAAAACATGCTAGAATTTACAAGGGCTAAATGGGAAGATAATGTTTATATTGTGTTTAAGTAATTGGCCCTCAAAAATAATAAAACAAACTAAAAAGAAAAGTTAAAGTGAAAACATGCTAGAATTTACAAGGGCTAAATGGGAAGATAATGTTTATATTGTGTTTAAGACAATTGTTAGTGGTGTGTTTGATTGGTGAAGAAAAAGAATACTGAAGTATAATTTGAAGTAATTGGTATTTGTGCTAATCAAATTCTGAACAAAAACAGTATGGTCTTTGTATAAAATATTCATGCTCTCTCAGCCCTTGCCCTTGCTCCATTTTTCAATTTCATTTTCTGCGATTGCTATTTATATAGTTCAACATCATAATCAAAATTGGAAGGTGAGAATCGAAAGATAGAGATAGAAATCAGAATGAATATTTTATTTTGCTATCAATCTATCACCGACTCAATTTTTTTTTTTTTTATTTTTATTTTATTATTACTTTTTATTTTTATAGAATATTAAACTGTTCCTTAAAATTTTTGTGATTTTGCTATAATTTTTTGTTTTTATTGTTTGCCTTTTGATGTGAAAAAAATTATATATGCCATGTTAGTTGGTTTTTTTTCCCCTGTCAAATACATTATGCCCCTCCTAAGATACAATCCTGGCTCCGCCCCTGTATATATATATTTATACCTGGTGATCTTCTTTCATTTTTTAGCCACTTCGGTGTTCTCTTAGAGGACAAAATTTCACAAGTTGGAGTACCACCTATGTCATTGACATAGGGTGGCAATTGAGTGGGTTTGAATGGGTTTTAGGCTGGTCAAGAATGGGCCAATAGTCCATTATCGGCCCATTTATAGTGGGTCATAAATGAATTGGGTGTTAAATGGGTAAGTGGAACCCCACCCAACTCAATAACCCAAATATTTTTAGACATAAATTGTCTAAAGTTATTTTAGTTGTTGTTGAATGTTAAAAATAAAAAAATAAAAAAAAAATACTAATAAAAAAAAAATTATTCTTACATTAATTTTTTGATTTTAAGAGTTACAAATTTTTTTTTTTTTTTTTTTTACTTATTTTGGGAAAAGTCACTATACACTTAAAAACTTCCATCATGTCACGGATTTTTTCTTCTTGATTTTATACAATAGAACAAAATTTGAAGGAAGAGTGAAGAGAGAGAGAGAGAGTTATCACAGGGAAAAGAAAAGAACCAGCTAGAAAAAAAAAAAAAAAAAAAAAAAAAAAAAAAAAAAAAAAAAAAGAGGAGAGGGAAGAGAGAGAGAGAAAAAAAAAAAGGGGGAAGAGATGTGAGAAGAGAGAGAAAGGGATGATGATAGAGGAAAAAGGGCGAGGAAAGAGAAAAAAAAAATGTGAAAAAAAAAGAGATAAAGATAAAAGAGAAGAAAGAGAGGCAGAAAATTGAAGGGAGATAAACGGAGGATAAAGAAACGGGGATTTTGTTTGAGCGGGTTAAGATGGATATCCATTCTTAATTTATTATTGATCATTGAATTGTATGGGTACTCACATTTTACTCATTGTTACCCACTCATTTAAATTTGGGTGTCCAAATAATTAAATTTTAGTGAACAAGTTTGGACGGTTTAATAATTTTGAACTTAAATTGCGACCCCTAAATTGACAATGTACAAATCAAGAGCATATGTACATGTCCTCGTAACAATATTTTTATTTTTTATTAAGGTTAGTTACAATAACACCCCCTGAAGTTTATCGTATTGACAGTCATATATAAGTTAGGCCTTTTTTTGAATAATGACACCCCCTCAAGTTTGAAAAGTTAACAAATACACCCCAATGGTCACTTGCCACTTCTGACATGTAATGAATTGACATTGTTGCCCTTTGACTTATAAATTAACCAATTTAAATAATAAAATTACCTTGCTATCCTTGTATAATATTTATAAAAATAAAAAATCCAATCCCAATACCATCTATTACCAGTCATACAGTGGCTACTCCATCACCACTGTGAAGCTCTCTCACCTAAAATCACCACATCAATTGATCAAAACCGGTGGAGGAAAAAAAAATTGATCAAAACCGGAATCTTCAACACAAACACACACACATATATATATCCCAAACCTTCAACATACATACATGTAATGGTGGGCACTGCCGCCAGCACATACTCCACCATCGTGAAGCCCTCTCACCCAAATCACCACCACAAGTTCAAAACTCGAATCTTTAACACACACACACACACACACATATATACCATCACTTTTAAACACCCAAATCTTCAACATATATATATATATATATATATATATATATATATATACCTCCAAGATCGAAACGGTGGCCACGACGGCGACGCTGACTCCACCACATCTTTTGCCCCCAAGCTCGAGAAGGATCCGAAGAAGCGCATGGTCATCACAGGGATGTGCCCAACGTCGATGATGTGGCTAGATCCGTTCAACGTTGACGAATTTCTTGGTGGTGATGGCGGCAATGACGATAAGGGATTTAGGGGTAGAGAGTTCTACGGATTTGGTGGTGGGTTTAAGGGAGAGGCCGTGGGTTTGGTGGTTGCTTGATTAAGGTTAGGGTTTGAAAGGCCATGGCTATTATTCGTTGCCTCTGTTTTTTTTGTTGTGGTGGACGGGCGGTTCTGGTGGTGGTGGTGGTGGTCGAGGACCGACGGTTGTGGTGGTGGTAGTCGAAGACCGGCAACTGTGGTGGTGACTATGTTCAAAATATACATATACATGTATAATATATGTATTTTATATACTATCAATTACAGTTAGAGAGATAAAATAGAGAGAGAGAGTTGGGTTAGGTTTCTGATGGAAAAGGTGAGAGGTGAGAGAGGGAAAGTGCCAAGGGTAAAAACGTCATTTAGGATTTCTAATATTTAACCATTTAAATTAATAAAATATTGAAGGGTAATCTTGACTTTTCACATCTTTAAAGGGGTTGTTTGGATTTAATTTCTGACAAGGGGTGTCATTGTTCAAAAAATGCCTAACTTATATATGACTGTCAATATGGCAAACCTCAGGGGGTGTCATTGTAATTAACCCTTTTTATTATAACATGTGCACAAACTAACGAATATATAAACATTAATGGCATATAGCAATTAGAAAGTATCTCCT